TTTTTTTTTTTTTTTTTTTTTTTTTTTTTTTTTTTTTTTTTTTTTTTTTTTTTTTTTTTTTTTTTTTTTTTTTTTTTTTTTTTTTTTTTTTTTTTTTTTTTTTTTTTTTTTTTTTATCGTTTTTTTTTTTTTTTTTTTTTTTTTTTTTTTTTTTTTTTTTTTTTTTTTTTTTTTTTTTTTTTTTTTTTTTTTTTTTTTTTTTTTTTTTTTTTTTTTTTTTTTTTTTTTTTTTTTTTTTTTTTTTATTTTTTTTTTTTTTTTTTTTTTTTTTTTTTTTTTTTTTTTTTTTTTTTTTTTTTTTTTTTATTTTTTTTTTTTTTTTTTTTTTTTTTTTTTTTTTTTTTTTTTTTTTTTTTTTTTTTTTTTTTTTTTTTTTTTTTTTTTTTTTTTTTTTTTTTTTTTTTTTTTTTTTTTTTTTTTTTTTTTTTTTTTTTTTTTTTTTTTTTTTTTTTTTTTTTTTTTCAGCTTTTTTTTTTTTTTTTTTTTTTTTTTTTTTTTTTTTTTTTTTTTTTTTTTTTTTTTTTTTTTTTTTTTTTTTTTTTTTTTTTTTTTTTTTTTTTTTTTTTTTTTTTTTTTTTTTTTTTTTTTTTTTTTTTTTTTTTTTTTTAATTTTTTTTTTTTTTTTTTTTTTTTTTTTTTTTTTTTTTTTTTTTTTTTTTTTTTTTTTTTTTTTTTTTTTTTTTTTTTTTTTTTTTTTTTTTTTTTTTTTTTTTTTTTGTTTTTTTTTTTTTTTTTTTTTTTTTTTTTTTTTTATTTTTTTTTTTTTTATTTTTTTTTTTTTGTTTTTTTTTTTTTTTTTTTTTTTTTTTTTTTTTTTTTTTTTTTTTTTTTTTTTTTTTTTTTTTTTTTTTTTTTTTTTTTTTTGTTTTTTTTTTTTTTTTTTTTTTTTTATGTTTTTTTTTATTTTTTTTTTTGCTATTACATTATTTTTTTTTTTTTTTTTTTTTTTTTTTTTTTTTTTTTTTTTTTTTTGTTTTTTTTTATTTTGGTATGTTTTTTTTTTTTTTTTTGTTTTTTTTTTTTTTTTTTTTTTTTTTTTTTTTTTTTTTTTATTTTCTATGCTTTTTTTTTTTTTATTTTTTTTTATTTTTTTTTTTATGGTTTTTTTTTTTTTGTGTTTTTTTATGTTATTTTTTTTTATGTTTTATAGGTTGAAGTTTTGAAGGAGAAAAATCACATTTGGCGTGAGAACAGTGACAGCTTTGATCTTCTATTGGGCAGAAGAAAAGCCTGGCCCTTAACTACTTCTTTTTTATGCCAAGAAATGTTTATAATATGTTTTTTTTCTTTTAATGTTTGTTCTATGTTATTTTATATTTATGTAAATGCTATGTTATAGAATATTTTTTGATATTTATGTTATAGAATATGTTTTATGTTATGTTATATGTGTAGGTTATATGTCTTTTACAGTTGTGACCAAAATTATTCAACCCCCAATGCTGTAAAGGGGTTTAGGGACTATAGTGTACATTTGGAATTGTATTCAGAATCAAATCCTACAAGGACGTTGTAACTACCCAAATGCAACTAAAATGACATCAATTGTTTATGTAATACAGTAGTAAATGGTTCTTATGTGGTTTCTTCATTGCCACAATTATTCAACCCCTTAAAGACTACCACTCTGAAGAACAGAGGTTCATACAGGTGCTTTCCATCAGGTATTGAAAACACCTGTGGATGTCACCGAGCAGCAATCAAGCATAATAAGCACCAATTAGGCAGCTTTAAAATGACTGTGATACTCAGCTCCTTCTAGACATTTACTGGTGTGGTTACAAACATGGTGAAGGCAAGAGAATGGTCCAGGAAGACAAGAGAAGAGGTGATTTCTCTTCACAGGAAGGGCAATGGCTATAAGAAGAAGATTGCAAAGATGTTAAACATACCAAGAGACACCTTAGGAAGCATCATTCGCAAATTCAAGGCAAAGGGCACTGTTGAAACGCTACCTGGTCGTGGCAGAAAGAAGATGCTGACTTCGACTGCTGTGCGCTACCTGAAGCGTAGAGTGGAGAGAAGTCCCCGTGTGACTGCTGAGGAACTGAGAAAAGATTTGTCAGATGTGGGTACAGAAGTTTCAGCCCAGACAATAAGACGCACACTGCGTAATGAAGGCCTCCGTGCCAGAACTCCCAGGCGTACCCCCTTGCTGTCTCCAAAGAATAAGAAGAGTCGACTGCAGTATGCCAAAAGCCATGTGGACAAACCACAAAAGTTGTGGGATAGTGTTCTGTGGACTGATGAAACAAAATTAGAACTGTTTGGGCCCATGGATCAACGCTATGTTTGGAGGAGGAAGAACAAGGCCTATGATGAAAAGAACACCTTGCCTACTGTGAAGCATGGTGGAGGGTCAATCATGCTTTGGGGCTGTTTTGCTTCTGCAGGTACAGGGAAGCTTCAGCGTGTGCAAGGTACCATGAATTCTCTTCAGTACCAGGAGATATTGGATGGAAACGTGATGCAGTCCGTCACACACCTGAGGCTTGGGAGACGTTGGACCTTTCAACAGGACAATGATCCCAAGCATACCTCCAAGTCCACTAGAGCATGGTTGCAGAGGAAAGGCTGGAACATTTTGGAGTGGCCATCGCAGTCACCAGACTTAAATCCGATTGAGAACCTCTGGTGGGACTTAAAGAAAGCAGTTGCAGTGCGCAAGCCTAAGAATGTGACTGAACTGGAGGCCTTTGCCCATGAAGAATGGGCGAAGATACCCGTAGATCGCTGCAAGACACTTGTGTCAAGCTATGCTTCACGTTTAAAAGCTGTTATAACTGTAAAAGGATGCTGTACTAAGTACTAAGATTGAATGTCACTTGGGGGTTGAATAAAACTGATAATGCTGTGAGCACAGAAAAGACATTTGTGGTTATTTCATTATAACTGTTATGTTATATTTGTCTGACCTACAAGTGCCTCTTTAATGTAAATGTAAGCAAGATGACTGAATGATCAAAAGCAATGTCAAACTGGCCAAAACACTCAATTTCAGTGGGGGTTGAATAATTTTGGTCACAACTGTATATGTTACTTTGCAAGCTATGTTATTTAATATGGTAAATATTTTGTTATGTGTTATTTTATTTTCTATATTATGTTATAAGTTATGTGTTATAAGTTGAAGTGTTGACGGAGAAAGATCACATTTGGCGTGAGAACAGTGACAGCTTTGATCTTCTTTTGCACAGAAGAAAGGCCTGGCCATATACTTTTGTTTAATTCCAAGAAATGTTATATATTATGTTGTTTCTTTTTAATGTTTGTTCTATGTTATGTTTATATATTATGTAATGTTATGTTATAGAATATGTTATATGATATGTTATAGAATATGTTATGCTTTACGTGTGTGTTACATCTTAAATGTTATGCTATGTTATGTTATTTTATGTTTTCTTATGTGTTTGTTAAACATGAATTCCAAATTCATAAATCGGCACTTATAGGAATTGTATTATATTTATGGCAAGCTTGCAATATACTTGGTTTTTATGATTAATCATAATTTTTAAAATGTGTGGTTTGCCTTGAACAAGTGATAGTGTCGAATTCTTCAGTTATTGCTGGGACAGAAAAATGTCAGAGTATTTTGAGTTAAGTTTACTAGCTGCAAGCTGAGTATTTAGGACATTTCTATAGATGGGCATAGCTGGTTAGAAGATCTCTGGTGTAGGATGATGTCATGGGAGTTAGAAGTGAACCAGAATAGATTTATTATGAAATAATATATTCTAATAGTATCTGTGCGTATTAAATTTACGTTTTTATAGGTTGGTAATATGTGTTACATAAGTAAAATTTTGCTTACAGAACATTATTGAGATATTACTTATGGAGCGAATATAAAGCGGCCGGTCCGGTATTTCTGCCACCACCATGTCAGAATACCGGGCCGGCCGCTCAGCTGTTTCTCTCCTGCAGGGCCTTACCTGTTCCTCGCTCCAGCGCTGCACAGTCTTTCCCGCGCTGGCTTCTGTGACAGCCGGGTGCCCACTGCGCATGTGCTGCGCTTTGTGAATTATCTGGTGTCTTCTGGGACACATGACAGGTCCCAGAAAGCGCCGGGCCATTCACAAAGCGCAGCGCTTCTCACGCATGCGCAGTGGGCACCCGGCTGTCACAGAAGCCGGCCAGGGAAGAAGAGGGAAGGATAACTCCGCGGAAGTGGGAGCGGGTACGTGTCAAATTCAGGTACCCGCTCCCCCTCCCCTCCTCAAAGGTCAGCAGTCTATGGTCATTCCCTGCACTGTCTTACAGTCTCTGGTCATTCCCTGCACTGTCTGCAGTCTCTGGTCATTCCCTGCACTGTCTGCAGTCTCTGGTCATTCCCTGCACTGTGTTCGCAGTCTCTGGTCATCTCCTGCACTGTGTCCGCAGTCTCTAGTCATCTCCTGCACTGTGTCCGCAGTCTCTGGTCATCTCCTGCACTGTGTCCGCAGTCTCTGGTCATCTCCTGCACTGTGTCCGCAGTCTCTGGTCATCTCCTGCACTGTGTCCGCAGTCTCTGGTCATCTCCTGCACTGTGTCCGCAGTCTCTGGTCATCTCCTGCACTGTGTCCGCAGTCTCTGGTCATCTCCTGCACTGTGTCCGCAGTCTCTGGTCATCTCCTGCATTGTGTCCGCAGTCTCTGGTCATCCCCTGTACTGTGTCCGCAGTCTCTGGTCATCCCCTGTACTGTGTCTGCAGTCTTTGGTCATCCCCTGTACTGTGTCTGCAGTCTCTGGTCATTCCCTGTACTGTGTCCGCAGTCTCTGGTCATCTCTTGTACTGTGTCCGCAGTCTCTGGTCATTCCCTGTACTGTGTCCGCAGTCTTTGGTCATCCCCTGTACTGTGTCCGCAGTCTCTGGTCATTCCCTGTACTGTGTCTGCAGTCTCTGGTCATCCCCTGTACTGTGCCCGCAGTCTCTGGTCATCCCCTGTACTGTGTCCGCAGTCTCTGGTCATCCCCTGTACTGTGTCCGCAGTCTCTGGTCATCCCCTGTACTGTGTCCGCAGTCTCTGGTCATCCCCTGTACTGTGTCCGCAGTCTCTGGTCATCCCCTGTACTGTGTCCGCAGTCTCTGGTCATCCCCTGTACTGTGTCCGCAGTCTCTGGTCATCCCCTGTACTGTGTCTGCAGTCTCTGGTCATCCCCTGTACTGTGTCTGCAGTCTCTGGTCATCCCCCTGTACTGTGTCTGCAGTCCATTGGTTCAGAATATTTTTTTTTCTTGTTTTTTCACCTCTAAAACCTAGGTGCGTCTTATGGTCAGGTGCGTCTTATGGAGCAAAAAATACGGTATGTTATAAAGATAGCTTCTTAGTTGTACTATCCTTTCAACAGAGTAATTGGTCACATGAGTAGACTGATGTAACATTGTTTTCAATGAAATCACTACTAAGCAGAATTGTTTGCCACACAAGGTTCTGAGATATGAGAATTATGACGTCTACATAAAAAGACATCCTAAGATATGCGAAGGTCACAATACACAACACACAGCATATACATACACATGTCCGTCCATTCACACACAGACAGACACAAGCAAAGCATGAACACAGTTGTCTGCATTGAGTAGACAAGAAGCACAAGGCAGGACAGCCATGTCAATACGGTTGATGCATCTTTATCACTTCTGGTTTTATATTTTTGTTTTACCTACACTGAACTGTTATTCATGATACATTTTACATTGTTATTTTAAGCCATTGTGTGATAAAATAAAATCACACTTTATTTTGCCAGCTCTTTAATTATCCAAAATCGCTTATAGACACTAAAGAATTGTTATAAGTGTCTCAGAAATTTCAACATTAACAGTGAGCCAGCCATAACAGTCTTTTTTTTCCATTTTTTACGGAGCTCCCAATCCTTGATTGGAGGGGGGAGACAAGCACAATTTTGTAAATATTCAATTCTTGGGAAAAAGACGATCAAGAACCTAGGAAAGGAAGAAACTAAGGTGATTGACCAGACGTGGACAAAAGGTCCAGTGACTGAGCCGGGTCAAATGAGAAAATCATCTGATTACGGTGAGTAAAAATTATGGAATTTATTGATGTATTAGCTAGAGAAAGCAAGAAAGGAAATATACAAGAATAATGTAAACTGTTTGTGCCAAAGTAATGATACTGCATTTCTTTTACAGAAATGGCATCTAAAACCAAATATGGAGCGTAACAATCTCCTACGAAGCTAACATCAAGAAATATGAGAAGTTAAAAGAAGAGATCTTCTCGGGAAGAAGATTGGACAAAAATGTTATACTTCTTCTTTTAGTTCTGTAAAATTAGAAACATTTTGGCTAAAACTTCACAGAGTCATTCTAGTTAATAGAACATTTTTTGGTTAAAAAAAAAAACACATCACTCTTCATAGCAGCAATAGAAACTTGTGACACATTTTAGAATGTAAAGTATATTTCCAGAGAGCTAAAATATTATTGCACAATTATGGATATTATAGTTATTATTATTATTTATATTATTATTTTATTTAAAATCAGTATTATGATTAAGAATTTTTATAAATAGAATATATAGATCAAAGAGTAACTGAAGAGAACAGAGTTTAGAAGGAAAGTTATTTCTGGCTGGTCCAGTTATGAAGAATACTATGTCCGATCATTTAATACAAGGCTGTGTGTGTGGATGAAGTGTTTGTTAATAAATTAATTGGATTCATCATAATAGGGGGAATTGTTAAACATTAATTCCAAATTCATAATTCGGCACTTATAGGACTTGTATTATATTAATGGCAAGCTTGCAATATACTTGTTTTTTATGATTAAACATAATATTAAAATATGTGGTTGGCCTTGAAACAAGTGATAGTGTTGAATTTTTCAGTTATAGAATTCAGAGTATTTGGAGTTAAGTTAACTAGCTGGAAGCTGAGTATTTAGGACATTTCTATAGATGGACATAGCTGGTTAGAAGATCTCTGGGGGGGGCGCATGCACGGCCGGCTCCTGGATGGGCGTGCTTTAGTGACAGCTCCGTCCACCCGCCAGAACGATCGCGGCTCACACCAGTCCCAGGGGATATAAATCCCACAGTGACTTGAAGAAGGAGTGTACAGACCTCCCCAACTGTGCCCCACAGGAGAAAAGCCCTGGGACAACCGAGAAAATTAACACAATTCTTCCCTGCTGTCTCAGCAGGGATCCAAGATGGCGCCGGCTGCAGCAATACAGAGGACAGCAGACATGAGAGGGACCACACAGCCCAGCAGACAGATCCCAGACTGCAATATCCGCTGTATCCTGGGGACCCTGGTGAGTCATCTCCCCCTATGTCCCCCACCACAAGCAGCACGGCCAAGTCCAACCACATCTTGACCCTGAGCAGTCATCTGCCTACCAGGCTCTCAGCCATCCATCACCTCAGCTTAACACTGACCTACCAGTGATAGAAATATTCCCTGCGTCAGATCAGCATATTACCGAGATATGCATGATAAACATGCTTTTATCGCTCAGACAAACCCTACATAGCGATTTAACATCATCACTAGCCCAGATTACTACCGTGGTTCAGCAACAAGAACACAGATTACACCATATTGAATCCAGAATGGGAGAAATAATTATAGCGCATAACGATCTGATTGACGCACATGCGGATCATACATCTGACATGGAACAAATAAATTTGAAATTAGCTGATCTGGAAGATCGATCAAGGTTTAACAATATCAAGTTCAGAGGTATTCCCGAAAGCGTCATTAATGAGGCTCTACTACCCTATATACAGCAGTATATAAAACACCTCATTGCATCTCTCTCTGACCTGGAGCTAGCTATAGACCGAGCCCACCGACTACCTAAACCCTCATTTCTGTCAGCATCTATCCCAAAAGATGTTCTGGCTCGTATTCACTTCTGCCACATAAAAGGAAAAAAAAAAATGATGTTGGCAGCCAGAAACCCACCTCCACTCCCGCCATCACACGCAAATATCTGGTTATTCGCAGACCTATCAAAGGCCATGCTCCTTAACCGTAAAAAGTTGATTACTATTACCAAAGCCTTACGAAACCACGGCATAGGCTATCAATGGGGTTTCCCCACAAAACTAACCATGAAACAACACGGTAGAGTCTTCACAATCAAAAACCTTGAAGCGGGCCTAGATTTACTTAAAACATGAAATTTACTACCTGTGGACACGCAGCAATCTACACCTACCAATCTCCAACATATGGAGGCAGAATAATGCTATCGCAACACACCTTCTATACACCACCAGTTTATCTCCTTCCACATTCCTCCTCCTCTCCTTCCCTGGCACCACCAGTCGATCAACTATACTTCAACATTCACCTGAATTCAACGAACTATCGTGGAATACCCACCCTAACGCCTCGATCGAGCCCAGACTGCACCGCAAAATCGATGAAACTCTCCCTTTCACAGCTGCATCCACTCAACCTCCCTTTTTTTCAAACAACAACTCAACTATCCTGTTCATCACTCAACAGATCCACATTATGATTAATATCACATCTCTTAATGTTCGTGGCTTAAACTCTCCCTTCAAAAGATCGATGCTTCAAAAAGAAACTTGAACGTTTCAGGCCGACATACTTTTCTTACAGGAAACTCACTTTGCTACAACCAAGACCCCCAGGCTACAACTTAATCGATTCTCACACATCTATATGGCTACTAACCCCAAGAAAAAAAAATGGTGTCATTACAGCTATAAAGGACTCTGTTCAGTTCCGATACATCTCAGAAATAGCTGACCCCCAAGGTCGCTATCATATCTTAATTTGCCAAATAAATGACATCCTCTACACTCTAGTAAATGTCTACGGCCCCAACAACAACCAGATGCAATTTTACCATAAACTCTACACCATCATTTCTACTCAAAAGCAAGGCAGACTCCTCATCGGCGGAGACTTCAATGTCATTGGCAATCCTCTTTTAGACTCGTCCTCCAACAAAAGATCCCTAAACTAAACTTCAACCAATTTCTGCACAACCATGACCTTTACGACATCTGGAGATGCCAGCACAGCAACGAGAGAGACTACACTTACTATTCCCCTTCTCACCTTTCCTATTCCAGAATCATTTTTTTCATCACAGACAAATGGACACTACAACACGTGATATCGTCCAAAATTGGTACCATAACCTGGTCAGAACACGCTCCAATCAACATATCCTTAGACGACAATCAACGTTCGGCAATCCCGCCCATCTGGAGACTAAACTCTACAATTTTGAAGAATCCAGATAACCAGAAACACCTGTTAGAAGCCCACAACTTATTCTTTGAATTTAATTCTACTCCTGACATTTCTATAACCACAATATGGCCCGCTTACAAGGCTTACATGAGAGGTATCCTCATACAATTAACCTCCCGTATGAATAAGCAACGATCCCAACAAATTGACCAACTTTTAACCTCCATCAAACTAAACGAAGAAATCAACAAAAAAAAACCAAAACCCCTCCACATCCGCATCCTTGACAGAAACAAACTGCAAACTATTTTACTGCACAAATATGACCTTAACCTTCAAAAAACAAAATCAAAATTCTACGTACTTGGTAATATAGCAAACTCACTTTTAACGAAAATAATTAAACAAAAACAGCTCAAATCTAAAATCTCCACAATTCAACACCCAACCACACACCTCGCTTACAAACCCGCAAGACATAGCCAACGCTTTCGTGTCCTATTACCAAAATTTATATAATATTAAAGATGACCCAAACACAACCCAACCGACAACTACATCCATTCAAAACTTCCTAGCTACCACCAATCTTCCTCGACTCACACACCATCTCAACTCACATCTCTTTCCATACCGATTTCTCCTACAGAAGTAGAACGAAAATATAAAAACCTTACCCCTTAACAAATCGCCAGGAAATGTTTTTTCGCCTGGAAACGGTTTCACAAACAAATTCTATAAAACATTTGCACCCAATCACACACCGCATTTATCTGTTCTATTCAACCATGCTGCCTCTACAGGTGAATTCTCTACCGAAATGCTAAAATCGATAATCACAACTATCCCAAAACCTGTAAAGATCCCCAATTAGTCCAGAACTACAGACCAATCTCATTACTGAATACAGATATAAAACTATACGCCAAAATAATTGCCCAAAGATTGCTCCCCCACCTACCTACACTAATCCACCCAGACCAAGTGGGATTTATTCCTGGTCGACAAGCACCAGATGCAACCAGAAGAATTATATCCCTCCTATACAAACTTAAATCCAATAGGCAACCCTCCTTACTCTTATCTCTAGATGCTGAAAAAGCATTTGACCGAATCCACTGGCAATTCATGAAACTCACACTTCAAAAATTTGGAATTACAGATTGGATGTTATTGGCAATCCTTTTCCTCTACTCCAACCCTTCTGCCAAAGTTCTAACTAACGGCACACTCTCACAACCCTTCCACATATCTAACTGCACTAGACAGGGCTGCCCATAATTTTTACCTTACTCATCGAACCTTTAGCATCTAAACTTAGAGATGACCCAACATTCACAGGAATTACTCACCTTAAAAAAGAACACAAAATTAGCCTTTTTGCAGACGATATCATCCTAATGATTACCAATCCCTACAAATCGCTCCAATCGATACGTACACATCTCCATAACTACTTAGAAGTCTCTTACTATAAACTCAATGAACCCAAATCCTCTATCTTAAATCTCGACACTCCCGCTAAGATCCAGAATATGCTGATCAAACATTTCCTTTTCTCCTGGGAACACCACAGCATCCCTTATTTGGGGATCAACCTCACCACTACAACTAATCAACTATATGCTGGCAACCACAAACTGCTACTCGAATCCATCCCACGAGAACTTAAAAATCTACGTACATCAACTCTATCGACAATGGGAAGAGTAGCAACTTTAAAAATGTGCATATTACCCAAATAACTTTATATATTCCTCACACTCCCTATTCCCAACACCTTTTTTTCCAAACTCCAAGCAGTATTAGCCAAATTCACCTGGAACTCAAAAAAACCTAGATGCACTACAAATCTCCTAATACTCCCAGCCTCTAGAGGAGGAGCAGGTCTCCCGCACTTAAAATCATACTACAATGCCACCCTTCTAGATCAGTTCTTTTTCTGGAGGCGCCCTACTAATGAAAAAACGTGGACCACCATGGAAACTCTTCCGCACCTACTGCACACACTCGATAAAATGCTGTTCCTACCTCAAACATTTCAAACCCAACTTCTACCCAAGCATCCTTGTATACAAGCCTCCTTACACGCCTGGTATAACCTCTTAACCTCCAACCAGTCAGATATAGATACTAAACGAATCCCTACCCCAATTTCCACTCTACACTTCATCACTCCCTCTCTAAATCTAACACAATGTGATAATCGAGGCATATCTCATATTCAAGACATATACACAAACCACAAATTAGACTCCTTTTCCACTCTCCAGAAGAAATTCCAGCTCCCTGACAATGAAAATTTTACCTACATGCGAATAGCTCATTCTCTACACAAAATAGATATACCACTCGAACTGACAATTCCTGTTATTGCATACAACCTATTTCATAAGACACAATATCCAAAGAAAGGAATTTCGACCTTCTACACGCTTATAACCAAAGCACAGTTTACCCTTCAAACTATCTCCCTAACCAACCGGGAGAAAATCCTCCTTCAACCGATACGCCCATACACTTGGGAAAGAACCTTCACTATCACCCACAAAGCCTCTAGATGTAGTTCCCACTGGGAAACATACATGAAAAATCTTATACCTGGTATTTAACACCAGTTAAACTCGCCTTATATTACTCTCAACACTCATCTGCGTGTTGGAGACAATGCGGAGAAACAGGATCAACTCTCTATATACTCTAGACATGTAAATCCCTCAAATCCTACTGAAACAGAGTCTTCCAACTGATCTCCTCAACCACTGGAGTCCCAGTGACTCCAAACCCAGCTCTCGCTCTCCTACACATAGGAATAGACAAATTCCCTACAGAATAACGCACCATCATTATTCACACATTAGCAGCTGCCAAAATCAATATTACTAAATTGTGGAAATCCACCAAAACTCCCTCTCTTTCAGCTCTTATATCTGACCTTAACCTTCAATGTGAGATGGAAAAGAGAACAGCCTTCCATAATTACTCCTACCATAAATTCAAAATCCAATGGTGTCGATGGTTACAAAACCCTAATTGTTCCATAAAATGATAACTATAGAATAATATCACACTATGACCTATGCACTTGACTGGTGCCCTCTTCCCCACCCCTTCTTCAATATTTACCTCACGTCCACCCAAACACAGTTCACACCAAACCAAGCATACCTCTCAAGTAAACACGACTTAAGTCTATAGTTTCCCCAGCCAATTGGTGGGGACTTATCTTATATTTACCGACTGCTATAATTTACTGTGAACTTCCTTAATGTTAATGTACATTAACCTGTATATTGAAAATCTTTCAATAAAAATATTTGAATATAGAAGATCTCTGGTGTAGAATGATGTAATGGGAGTAAGAAGTGAACCAAAATAGAATTAGTATGAAATAATATATTCTAATAGTATCTGTGCGTATTTAATTTACGTTTTATAAGCTGGTAATATGTGTTACATAAGTAAAATTTTGGTTATAGAATATTATTGAGATATTAGGTTATAAAGATAGATTCTTAGTTGTACTATCCTTTAAACAGAGTATTTGGTCACATGAGTAGACTGATGTAACATTGTCAACTTATGAAGCCGCTACATATGGGCTTGTCAATCAAAAGACCATATATATAGTATCCCCTGTTTTCAATAAAATCACTACTAAGCAGAATTGTTTGCCACACAAGGTTCTGAGATATGAGAATTATGACGTCTACATGTAACATAACAAGACATCCTAAGATATGCGAAGGTCGCAATACACAACACACAGCATATACATACACATGTCCATTCATTCACACACAGACAGAGACAAGAAAAGCATGAACACAGTTGTTCTTCACATTTTGACAAGGTGAAACAGGTGCATTCTCTTAGAGACCTACTACAATCACGTCACTTCCTACTTGCTCAGACTCAGCTGCATTGAGCAGACAAGAAGCACAAGGCAGGACAGCCATGTCAATACGGTTGATGCATCTTTATCACTTCTGGTTTTATATTTTTGTTTTACCTACACTGAACTGTTGTTCATGATACATTTTACATTGTTATTTTAAGCCATTGTGTGATAAAATAAAATCACACTTTATTTTTACTTTGCCGGCTCTTTAATTATCCGAAATCGCCTATAAACACTAAAGAATTATTATACTGTTCTACTGTGTTATAGTATATCTTATGTTACATGCTATGTTGTGTTATGTTATATGTTGTATGTTTTGTAACATGTTATTTTGTGTTATAGGTTATGTTGTTTTATGTTATGTTTTAAGTTGTGTTCTAGGCAGAGTTGAAGGCAAAAGATCACATTTGGTGTGGCAACGGTGACAGCTGTGAACGTACACTGCACAGAAAAACGTCCTGACCATCCACTTCTGTATTATGCCAAAAATGTTATATTTTATGTTGCTTGTTTTATGTTTTTTATATTTAATGTTGCATTTTTTGTTATGTTATGTTATGTTATATTGTATATTATGTTCTGTTACAGTCAGGTCCATAAATATTGGGACATCGACACAATTCTAACATTTTTGGCTCTATACACCACCACAATGGATTTGAAATGAAACGAACAAGATGTGCTTTAACTGCAGACTGTCAGCTTTAATTTGAGGGTATTTACATCCAAATCAGGTGAACGGTGTAGGAATTACAACAGTTTGCATATGTGCCTCCCACTTGTTAAGGGACCAAAAGTAATGGGACAATTGGCTTCTCAGCTGTTCCATGGCCGGGTGTGTGTTATTCCCTCATTATCCCAATTACAATGAGCAGATAAAAGGTCCAGAGTTCATTTCAAGTGTGCTATTTGCATTTGGAATCTGTTGCTGTCAACTCTCAAGATGAGATCCAAAGAGATGTCACTATCAATGAAGCCATCATTAGGCTGAA